TCTCGGAATGTACATGAACACTTCATGTGTGACAGGCACCTGCGATTGTTATTTACGGAAACACGTCAGGGCTGTTGTCACAACCCGAAACGATTATGAACAGTTCCTATAGCCTATTGCTGAATTCATTGTTGTGTAAAATAATCGATAAGTTCGAATAAAACTGTAGGTGGAATTTGAATTCATAAATATTTGCTCTAGACATGACAGATTTATGACACTACTTAATACTGCTCTTTGTAAACATTATCTAAACGTAACATATACACATTATATACATCTATGTGGATGTTAGCTTAAAACTAACAAAACATAAATATGTGTATCTTGACATGACAAATTTGCCTTTATAGCAGTGTTTTTCAAAGGCGTAGGTGATTGTTTCTATTGTTTTGTTTCCATTGTTTTGTTTCCATAAGACGTCTCTTCGTCTTCGGGTTTGGCAGACATAACATTTCGCTAATAAAATGATTCGTACTGAAGATCGTGTGTGTAATCATAGTTTATAAATAGCAAGGGCACAGACACACGTAATACTTACGTGCGCTGACGGCTTACTTTATTTTCCGACTTACTTGCAAGAAAAAGGATATTAATTTTAGCCTATAGTTGTATACCCGGACATTAAGTGTCTGATGTTAAAGGGTTTGTTTTATGTTATTTTGGAACGTGAACGTGTATTTATGTAGGCCAATTTGGTGTTTATTTCTGAATAAAAAAATTGTTCATGACATCTAATTAATTGGGCCAATATTTGTGCATCTAGTACCGAACTTGGTGTTTGGTCGCTAAAAATAGAAGCAACGTGTAAATCAGAGCGACGAGCTCTGAATACGGATCTTTCTGCAAGGAATTGAAACTCGGTCGATTTTAGGATAGACTGTGGTATACACCTTTATTATGTCCGTACAACAAGTTTCTTAAATTTGTGAATACTTGTCAGTGAGACATTCTGTAATCTATCCAAAAATGTCTTGTACAAAAGCGGTAACTTGCATTACTTAGATTCATTAGTCACATAAAACATTTACAACCTGCCACAAATGATATATGTCATTTCAAGACGTACAGCCATTGAACAACCATTAACCTGACCCCAAAATGGCAATGCCTGTATTGCGTAATAAATTCAAGGTTATTTCCTTACTGAATATGTATCTAAAATTAACATAAGAAATATCATACAGCTTATGTTTATTTTTACTTCATTTGGATTTAGTATTTTTACGTTAAACGTTAACAGTTGGAAATAGATCGTCCGTGTTCAATATCTGCCTAAGAATTTTGTGTGGGCCAGATGCGCGTGACTTATGCGAATATGTGAATAAATTACCAGGTGAGCCTCAACTCTTTGATACCATACTATAAGAATATATATTGCCTTACTTGCTAAGGTGAGCAAGCTAAGTACTGGACGCCTTCGTTTTGTGCCTATATACTCAAGACAGTGTTGTTTAATGTTATTAATCTGCATTAGACGGTTTTCTCGTGTGCTGACCGGTCTAAAATCGGTAGGCGGCCGAGACGCTCTATCATGCCATCTGCTTGGTCCCAAATTAACGTTCAAACGGCCGGCTTACTTTGTTCTGATCCTGTATCATTGGGGCTCGTGACAGTTCAATTGCTATTTAATAGAATTACAGTTTTAAATCCCACTGGTCTTAAAGGTTGTCTTCCATACAGTTCTTCGATACAGCAATTCATCCAACTAATGTGGCATTAAATTTAAAGTTGAGGGTGTTTCTTCAAGTTTGTTGTTCAATATTCTACTGTTCCACGTCTACATATTTTACTTTTTGTTGGTTGGGGAAATACGTTTGCAAGCACGTTCACGCACATGCAAGTCTAGGAAATCATGTAAATATAACATAATGGTGTAGTAAAATTCAAAAAGAAAAAAAACCTAATGTATAGTTCGTAGTATTCAATGACTTTTTATTGAAGGACATGAGCAGAATAAAATAATAATTTTAATAACTGAGTCAGGTTCCTCGCCATTGTTTTTCTAAGCAGCCATCACAACGTCATCTATGACATGCAATATAAATACCTACTGCAGTTAATCATTGCGTAAAATTAAGTCTGGCAGTGTTGAAGCTATGCTGCACCTGTCAAGAAGGAATGCAAGTACATTATTCTACTGTGAAATTACTGACAAACAGGTCATATATACTTTTTAATTACAGTAAAAAATTTGTTTGAAAACGCCACAACTGGTACATAAAATAGTATCGTAGCAAAAAATGAGCAATTTCTTATTGTTCGAGTGGCTTAATGACGTGCGTCGCCAAATAGCCGGTCTGTTATGTTCTAAGTGCGACATCCTACCTTTTTGGCAGCTGCATGTTAAATAACTAGCGTTAAGCGAACAGGCCCGGGTCTTGCAGAGAGCGACTGCAGTATGAGGCTGAACACGGCGCTGAATCCAGGTCAGAGGGAACTGGCGCTCTTTGAGAGCTGCATGAATACACACGAATAGAAAAGTTGTGTTCAGTTAACCGATGAAATCAGAGAAAAAACAGGGCAACGCTCGACTCCCTCACTGCAGGCAGCGGCCACATAGCTCTCGTCTGCCTAGCGTAAGGTTATGGGAATAGGACAAATAATCCATTCTGCTGTTTTTTTGACACACGCACTATAGGCGACACACATACAGATATTAAGGGAAAAAAACAAGTCTGTCCATTGTCATTGTACTTGTCTCACATTCTCGTTTACTTTCTGTCCCCATTCATATGTGAGTATCACACACAGCGAGTAGCGCTCAAAAACTTTCTTTGTTTTATGATATATTTGACCAGACAGCTCATGAACACGTACCTTCAGCAGAATGTTCAGATGTACTTAACAATCGGCAACTGCTGTAAATCAAATATTTAGAGTAGCTACAAAAATACACTTTACGTGACCAAAAGCACACCTTACTTTTGCTGCTATGGATAGCATCACTTTATGCTTCATCTTATTTCAAATAAAGTTCAATAACTTTATAGGATGACCCAGCTGCGTATATGCATTTAAAGCTCGTGGCTGTGACATTAGTGTAGTAATAATTCCTGTATTTCTTTATATCGTAGCTTTAAAAGTAGCACTCTTAAGTGACCGACACATAAGATTAAAGGATTAACAACATTAATTATGCTGGAAAAAAATGTAACATTAGTTTGCAGCCATCTGTTTAATCACGTGGTAGTGTCCCCTTTATTGATAAAAACAAATGCGCTTGGATTTCCGATTAATTTAATCTTAATCAAGGTCCGGACTGTTGTGGCCCAGTAAACTAGGAACCTCTCGGAGGTGGCGATAAGAATCAGTCATGGGGGGTCAGCGGGATCCACTGGCTCCGTCCTCGTGATAGGGCCTATCTTTCCCGTGCAGATGGAGTTGGAAGCAAAAGGGCTTAAATACAGATTTATTTCAGCCACAATTAACCTCTGTGATTTCCGCATGCCACGTTGTTATCATCTGCCATTGTTGTTTGCGCTATTGGTAATATGATCATCTCGGGCTTGTCATACTTTTATGGTACACCGAATGTGAGTAATTTTAATTGGGGCAACACCGAGACTCTGGGCAGCTTAAGAAATGTTTCGCGTCCAAGTAATAAATATGAAACAGTACGCACTTGTCATGCGCATGCGCCTGGGGCAAGGAACCCGGTGATCTTTCAAAGTTGGAAAAAGTAGTTTGGCTTAACGTTGTCGGCTTAATCTTAAATCTCCGTCTTCACGTCTACGTAAACAGTTTGTAGGAGAGCACAGTATGCATAATTATGGCAATCGGCGTAGCATCACTAGTAAACCAAGTAGGCCTACCCTAGATTATTTTCTGGATTTATTAGGGTGCAACAAACTAGAATAATTAGGCCTATCAAACTACAGAATTTGTAATTGAACTTACACATGATTTGTAAATTAAAGCCGAATAAGAATAAAATGACAAAATATTTATACTTGCTTTGGTTTCTACATTTATGGATTATTTCACGTTAAGTCCTACTTCTGCAACATTATTGCTGTATCCGAGGAAAGTTGCCTATAAGCAGTTAATAAAGTTGGTAAGGACAAGCTCAAGCGGCCATTATGACAATCGAAACTTTCTAAATTCCAAAATTGTAAGCATCAGAGGTGAAAATAGAATTCGTTGTACAATGTAACTGTATGCCGGTGTCGGAATGACAACGGAGTGCATAAGCTTCTTTCATGGAGCTTTTGCAGCCGTCGCATGAGATTGCAAGGTTCGGCTAATTTATCATATTAGATTATATCTGTTAATAGATTTTTAATCCTATTTAATTACATGATTTTTTAAATGTACACATTTTTCTTATAGCATATTGGGGTTCTCAAAAAGCGAGTAGCGTTGAAGGCCTATACATTTTATTTCCTAGACATTATTAAAAGATACTTTGGGCAATTAGTGCCACCCTTTTTATATGAAGCCAAAGAATTTTCTTCTTTATATATAGTAGGCCTGCCTGCCTTGTGTTTGGATTTACCTTAAAAGTCTATGTGTATATGTTAGATACGTGTGTGTTTGTCTCATTATAAGGCCAGAGTAGCTAAAACGGAAATAGATTTTTTTTAGTCACGAGGAGTTTAGAACACTACTGGCCTCGCGAAGAAGAAAGACTCTTTCTGTTTTCCACAATGGGAGACTGAGGGAGGGGAGGAGTCCGCGATGATTAGTCTATTTAATGGCGCGTTTACTTAATTTCTGTATTCACTGGCAACCATAAACAAAAAAGAGCTTCATCTAAGCAGTACCGTAACGCTGGGTATATCGATGGATATATACATATCCATCCATCCATTTTACTAAAAATGACGTTTTGGTGTTCGTTGCATTCGATGGGAGCTTTACAGGGATATAGGCCTATATGTAATGTAAGATATGTAAACAATCGGTGGTCTGCGATAACTAGGCTACATGCAGTCAAGTTTTTTTGTAAAGAACAAAAAGACATACTACAAATTATATAAGAAAATGGAATACTGTATTTGATTTAGAAATTTGTACATAAACATAAACACGCAGGTAAAGAAACATTGATTAATAAGCGCCTTAAGCGAGCACGGAAGTGACTGAACACGTCGATGAGAAAATACTCCAAATTCGTAATTAACTGATTTTGCATAAAAGGTGACCGATAACACTCGATGGTTGCCTAGCGTCATTATCCCAATTAAAATATGAAACAAACCAACAAACGAACGAAAACCTAGAGCACTTCGTCTTACAATTTGACAAATATTTTTTTTATGAAGGAACACCAAGTCAAAAGTGAAGAAAGATAGAAAAGCAAACGAATAAGGAGAGCGAATATTATTTACAAGCATATCTCTACACATATATTACAGACTGGGAGAATGATCGCATTATTTAAGATATACATAATTCAATATAAAATCTTGAAATAAAAATAAAAATCTGTTACAGTCATAACTATTCGATTCCACATTTGACCAGTACCCCACAGGCAGTGACAGGAGTGTTTGTAAAAAGGTGCTTACGACTCAAATGATTGTCTGATGAACATAAAATAAAACAGGATCGCGTCTTGGCTGAGCGTCATCACTTGGGCTAAAACAGATATAGACCAAAAATGTGATAAACACCGGGTTCTGGTAATTCCCTCTTCTCGGCCATCCTTGTAAAAAATATTGAACTTAAAGAGTATTTTTCCCAGATACAAAAAAAATTATCATGCAAGTAGTGTGGGGGTAAGGGGAAGTCGTGGGTCCTTTTGAAAGCGCTTGAAAAAGACGTACTTCTATCTCTTTTAATAGTTAAACCAATTGGTCCTCTTTTCTTCCCCGATATTTAATAGTCTTTTCAGGTCCGTATTCCCTGTTAATATTGGTCTTCAGTATCATACATCGCATTCTGAGTCACTTGATGTTACTGAAAGCACGGAGGTGCCGGTTTCAACTCGCTCTGTCATACTTGATACGCTGGTCGTCGGACTGGCCGCAGTTGATGGCGATTCGGCCGAGCTGTGCGGAGTGCACCCGGACTCTGACAGAGAGCGCATGCCGTTCTGCCCTATTGCTTGATGCTGGAGCCTGGTTAAAACAAGAAATAACATCGCAATTAAAACACATCTCGATGTATCCCTCCGCAAAAGAGTCACTCTTCCCTTCTTCTGACTATTGCTAGCACCGTGTCATGAACGTGCTTAACCCTTCTTATGCCGAGTCGTCATCTAAGCCCTCTGGGAAAGTACAAAGATGTGTACACCATACCATGGAGAGTAAAAAGGAGGGTAAACAACAAGCAAATATCCAGGAAAAAACAAACACTACACGAGATGCAAAACTATTGGCCTACGGTTTTTTTGTAATTACAACAGTGCTATAGTGCTACGTTACATAAATGTATATAGCTTTTAAGCTACTTATTTTCTCATTTTTTACATTTTTGTATCGTATATATTTTAATTTACAGTAATTACGGTTTAACAGGGGTGTGCCACACTAAAGTAATCCGAAGCTCTTTGGTAATAATGGAATTGTATAACGAGTTTATCATCCTGATATAGCAACTTTACGTGAAGTCACTTCAGCATTTGTTTTGCTGTGTTATATAACCCAATGTGATTACGGCAAATAGCTAAACGTTTCAAATCTAACACGTACGTGTAGCCTACTTCCTAAGTGTACTAAATCGCGATTAACAAAATGCGCACCTGTGTTTATTGGGAAAATATTTCAATATTAACAATCATTAAACAAGTCACGTTATAAACCAAAGAATTGTGCATAATTTACAGTTTTTATTTTTGCACAATTTCTGACAGTTATAAAATGATTCAAATAATTCGTTGAATAACAGAATGGATTTAAAATGTAGCTAATTCTGTTTTTCTAGCTTGAGTGAGAAACCAAATATTGTAGCTAATAGTAATAATTATAAAAATGTAAAATACTATAAATATGTATTTTTGAGGATTAAATGTATGCGTGTAGTGTTAATGTCTCGTTCCGTGTAACCATTTTACACATAGGAAATAAAATACCGTCTGTACTTTTGTGCGCCTTGATAAAGCACAGATTTAGGCCCTTATTCTGCTATATTTTCATGAAGTATTTATATGCATTTAAATGGTGAAATATAGGCCTATGTATTTTTTTTCAAAGTGACGTTTATCACAATATACTGTACAGACCACTCCATTTTGTTTTGATTGCCATTACAGTGAAAGTATTTTAGCTAAGTAATTTAGAGGTCTACATAAAACTTTCCCTTGTTGAGATAAGATAAAACATTAATGCTTATTTTGTGATTTTAATGCCAGATAGCGAAAATGCCAGGGCTGAAATACATATGGTAATTTAATAAAAAGCTACATTTTGTTTTTGGTTCTCATTTATACAAAATCAATTATTGCAATACTCAACACGATGATTCATGCATTTTCAGTTGAAATTGGAGTATTTTCTGCCACGATTAAATATTCTTTTCAAATAAGAGCATATCCTCACTTGCTTGTTTTCTGCACACTAAAACTGATCGCTTGGCTGCGGATTTCTTTAATAATTTCTGAAATGTTTCTTTTCGTGCTTAGCATCTATTTGTGTTACTTTTTTGTGTTTCTGGCAGAAAAACCCGCGTTTATAAAGCATTTCCATGCAGCAGTTTCTGTTCACATTTGAAATAAAGACAAAAATGTCGCCGAGCTTTTACCCGCCTCCTATGTAACCCACGGTGTACATTTTACGTGTTTCCTCCACCGTCCCCTTTTCCACATTCTAAAATCCCGCGGACTGCTCGTTATTAAATCAGACTACGACCTGAAAATATTTTAGCCTCTCGAGAACAAAAAATGCGAAAGTCATTATTATTTTATTTCGTACGCACGATTATTTTACCGCAGACTTTAGAACAAAAACCCAACTGACCTGTTTTTTGCTGCGGCGGCTCTGTCTCTCTGCCTCCGATTTTTAAACCAATTCCCGACTTGTGTAGGAGTGAGTCCGGTGGCTTGAGCAAGTTCCCTTTTCTTGCTGGGGTTAGGGTATGGATCCTGAAGGTACCACTCCCTTAACAGGCTTCGTGTCCGCTCCTTGAAACAGTGAGTCTTCTGCTCCCCGTCCCAGATGGTCCTGGGCAGGGGAAACTTCTTTCGTACCCTGTACTTATCGACTGGTCCTAGCGGGCGACCGCGCAGTTTCTCGGCCTCCTGGTAGTGCGCTTCTAGCCACATTGCTTGCAGCTTGCCGTGGGAGTCCTTGGTAAACTTGTGATTTTCCAAGATATGGTAAAGGTCTCTGAAATTCCCCGTGTGGAAGGCGACCACTGCGCGAGCTCGGAGGATAGACTCATGCTTGTTGATCGCCTCGCACGCCCCCGGTGCGACGGGCAGAGACCATAGGAAGCGTCCCAGGCGCTCGATATCTCCGGTTTCTTCCAGCGTCTCGCAGACGCTCGCCACTTGCTCCGGAGAGAAGTTGAGGGTCGGTAGCTGAAACATTGACAAGTCTTCTGGAGACCTGGTGCTGGGTGCGCTGCTCGCCAAGAGCAAAGGGCGATCAGCGAAGTTTGGCAGGAAGAAATGGGAGGGATAAAGCTCTAAAGGGGATCTGAAAACCATGGAATGACCTGAGAGAGAAAGAAAATTATCAAGGAAAAGAAACGACGAGTAAAGATTGAATGATTCAATAGCTATCGCCTAATGACACCAGCCTCATAATATCTCCCCTAAATCCACCGTGAGTGTAGCATTGAAACATTTTGTTTCGCTTTTCTATTGGTCTTCTTGGTGTCGTTGTAAGGTTGTCATGGCAGCCCTGCCAATCACTGTCAAGCGTGCCAATCATTAGCCAGTACGTAGAGGCTTTCACCACTTCTGCTGCACGCACGGGGGGTTATCAGAAACCCCAATCTCAACACTACCCTCCCTCTAAACCGGCTCGCATGGAGTAAAAGCCAATGCTGGCCTATTTGTTGAATGGAATGAGCAATTAGAGGGTGGAATATTATTGCGATCTTAACGAGGCTCGTTAAGGCTAAAGAAGATATGTAGGAAAGAGGAAAGGGAGGGGGAAGGGGTTGCGGGGGTGCCGAATGGGCCGAGCAGGAACACGGCAATACACATTTGAATACAAGGCTCCTAACCGAGTCAATTCACACATGATTGGCGCATAGTTTCATCGTATTTGTAGTGTCTGAGCACTTTTAATTCGGCGAGAGAAGAGAGTTGAGCTCATTCTGGTCCGTTATGGCACTGATAATGTCATCGCGGTCCCCCGCTGAATTAGAGTCAACTATATGCGTGAGAACGTATTTTAGTAATGGCAGACTGATTAATTCCAATTAGCAATATTCATTATTATTGGTGTGACGAAGGCGTTTGAGGCTGTTATAGCTTGTACAGTTAGGTTCCTAAAATAATGAATAGTTCACTCTGTATTGCAGCGAACCCTTCCGAATGGCTGTGGTGTACGCCTATCCCTAAATTGTCAGATTTTTTGTTTAGAGGTCGCATTTGCTAAAATGCAAAATTTTAGCCGTCAGTAGAATTACTTTTTAACAATATTTAGAAAATAGCAATATTATTTCAAATGGAGCGAACAATATTTTAACAAACATTTCACTCTATTAATAGCCTATTATTCAATCGATATAATCACTGCCACCATCACCATGTAAAATAGCCTGAAATATATCATACTTATAACGTCCTGTGCGCGCTTTTCTCCAAGGGAATCTGGTAGTTAAGAAATTACAATAATTTATGGTCACTAAATTCTAGGCAGTATTACACAGACTGAATTATCTTGACATTTCGCTCAGGCTATGCAACCGCTCCGATGTGGTTTATCTTATATTTATCTTATATATTATCTTATATTTGTCCTTATTTAGCAGTGTCCGCGCGGACAGAGCTTCATATTATATCGTGTGTTGATTCACACAGCAGCGAACAATAAGACTGAAAAGCACTAAAAAGAATATTGAGGAATTTATATAATATCTTCCCTCCATATACCTGAGATAATCCCCGAATTGGCTTTTATACAAAACCACCAAGGAATTTAAAACACTAACTTTGGGGGGGGAAAATACATTCCACTGTAATTGTCTTACCCTGGTTAACTAGCGCATTAGAATCTTTTATTCTAACACACTACGTAGTATCAATCAGTTGATGTCGTCCCCTGGATGCTGGATGCTGAAGTGTTTGCTTATATCGAAGGATGTAGTGTGCGTTTCTTGGAGGTAGGGGTGATGATCTTGTTGGGGGCGTTAGAGCAGGTTATGTCTTTGGATCAAACCTGTTTGCTCTGCTGTCATATGAAACTCTGGTGAAGTAATTCCAAGTGGCACTTGAAATGGTCCAGTTGGAAAGCTTCTCGGACTGGAAATAACTCGCGGTATTTCCACGTTGGCCATGCTTCTGTTCAGAACCTTCTCGGCTTACCAAGTGGCGGAGAGGGAGCTTAACAGAAAATATTTTTTTAAAAGGCCTGTTCAAAGTGTGTGCTATATGGTGTGATTGTTTGCATAATGATTTACGCGGGGTGCATGTTTTACAGTGGGTAAGTCCAAAGCTGTATGTTGGGGAAAAAAAACTCTGGGCACATCACTTAAAATCAAGATTGTGAGGCGAAATGTAAAACCTGGATTGATTCGTAAAGCCAGGGGTAAATGACATTCTTTTACATAGCTTTTGTTTGCGTTAAGCGTGTAATTAACACCCCTAAACAAGTTTATTCACCTGGTCTAATTGTCTGTTTATCCTCGAGCTTACAGTGCTCTTCTCTTAACCATAACCAGCGGGAGACGCGCTACTCAATGCCGACAAACCATTAGGTCGATCTTTGTTTATTTACGTCGCAGCCCCCGTCTGTCTTTACAATGCAGACTGAAGTTAACACTATGTTAAACTGATACAAGAAGTATTAATTAACCTTGACCCCTCTTGGCCAATATTGATTTATTTTCCAACTGAGTACGCGGTTATTATTATTATTATTATTATTGGCTAACACTATAAAATATTTAGTTGTACATCCTCTTTGATCAAAAGTATTGTGTCAAAGGGGTGTAAGACCGAGTTCAACATAGAGGCGGATGGAAAAGGTAAGGAAAAACCTCTTATTTTTTGCATCTGATCTCAGATACCAGAACGATTATGCGATACACTCTTGGATGTGATAAAGAGCTATTTCTTTCATGGTTATCCGGTCAACATTAGCCTGTAATTAAGCACTGCCAACGATAATGGTAGCGTGCAGTTTTTCTGAGCAAAAGCGACGACAGGTCCCAGAATGAAGTCTAAAAAGGATGTGAAGATTTAAAACTGAATGACACGGACATTAAAGTTCTCTCTTTACTAGGGAGATTTGAATGCTATTCATGCATGTTTTTATCTACAGTGTAGCACACATATGTCTATGAACAGAACCGGCTAGAATTATATTTTAATTAACGGTTGTGTGTTGACATTTGTCGCAGAACCATTTAATGAGTATATAATTTGATTCGATGTAATAAAACAAAGATAACATTATCACATCATTTTATCTTTTTAAAAAACCAAATCATTTATAGCCTGTCTTCTCTTACTCCACCTCACCTAATTCTTCTTCATCTTCCTCTTTCTATAGAAATACGCTATAGATTGACGCTGCTGAGTGCGTTATGATCAAGACGCTGTCAGAATGAAGCTTTACCGGGAACAGTCGGTCTTTGCTCGCAGAAGTGGGAATCTTTTCCTAATCGTGTAAGTCCTGAAAATCGCGTATTGCCAAAGGACTGCTCTAATTGCCTAGCAAATGAGCATAACGTCTGTAATATGTCGCTCGAATTGTTAAATATTTGTATGACCGTTCATGTATCTATGTAAAAAATGCGCATCTTTTTTCAAATAGGAGCTACGTGCACTAGTAGCTATCGTAGAGTTAGGTAATGGCGACAAATACTTACAATAGTGTTAGATCGGCAAAACATCAGATTTACCAGTAAAACTGGTAAACTTTAACAAAATACGAAAATAAATGTCATGCTGTCGCTTCAATAAAAGCCAAATCAAGTTAGTTTCGGAACAATCCCAGTTTGACAACCGCGACTTCCTTTCTCGTTACCGTAACCCTCTTGGCTAGCGCCGCTTGCAGCTTTGTCGTATTGTCAGGACGGGGCGCAAATGCCACAATTTATTTGCGCTGGTTCAGCTTGCCATGCTCCTCGGAAACTGAATTTCAGACCTCCGAAATGATGTCCTGTAGATTAAATTATGGCTGCAAATTGATGATATTTTATATGTTAAATCTGGGATGCATATGCAATGTTGTTGTTGTTGTTGTTTGTTTGTTTGTTCTTATTTTTTTAAATATTGTTAAATACAAGCACGTAACATAGTTTTAAACCGATAAAAATACATGCGCAGAGCATACTGATGCAAATATATAATACACAGTGTATAACTGATTAAAATATGCCTGACTATTGGACTATGTTCTAATAATAATAATAATTATTATTATTATTATTATTATTGGCAGTAGTAGTAGTAGGCCTGCTAGTAGTATTAATAATAGCAGTAACACATAACTCCGCGCTTAGTTTAAAATATCCTGTGTGTACTTCATAAACATTTTTGTCGCCAACACACTTAAAAACATCCCTGTAAGTGCCTCACTCATGCACAAATGGAGTATTTGTTTCACCTGTAAAATCACGCTGTTACAGGAATGTGTTAATATTTTACGGCCAAATCTCGTTTAAAGCGGCTTAACTATTCTAACGAATTTATCCAAATGTAAAGAAATTTTATTTTTTTCCCCCAACTTTTCTTTTTTCTTTTTTTTTGTGTGGTCTCATTAAGTGGGCGTCCTGCTAAGTGCACGAAGTTATACCAAAGCTGTCCAATCAGTGTTTTTGCACGGCTTGTTAGCGACAGTTAATGAGGGCGCTCCGCAGACCGAGAGAATGGCGCCTCAATGTTAGATTTACCTTGTGTCAACTCGTTACTTCTAATGAAGCCATTGGAAGCGCTTCCAATGAATGGAAGCAGGCGACTGAAACTGCAGGCTTTCTGTCTTCCGGTTCCTCTGTGGAGCACTGATGCAGGGTTAGAATGTGAAGCTCCCCGACGCATGATTTGTTGAGGGAGGGCGGGAGGCAGAGGGGTGCGCGGCGTCATTTTGATTCAGTAAAAGAAAAAGATGTGTGTGTGTGTGTGTGTGTTTGGGTACTTTATCGGTGGACGTATTCTCTAAATACATTTTAGACGTTATACAATGTCCGCCATTCGGCCTCTGTAGCGTTTGGTAAGTCAGATTTGACATCTCCGTTTACTTTGTAGATATTCATTCACCTCTGTAAGTATAAACGCTCCCCAGAGTTTATGACCGCGGACGCACCGTAGTTACTACATCCAGGTATTTACTACAAAGTTTACCGTTACTCTTAAGCATATCCCAACTCTCCACACTATAGCACTATAGCACGTCACTACCAATTATCCCATGCAGCCTTAAAGTAAATTATTCGAAGCAAATGTATGGGGTTTTCAGAGATTCTACAAAAGATAAAGGCGTTGTGCTATGTATTTATTTAAATTGTTAATAATGTAAATTTCCTTCTGCTCTGTGATGTTCCCGTTATTTCCTACTGTGGTTTCTTTTTAACTTCATCGTCGATACGTACGATACAATATCCTTCCTGTAAGCATTAATTTTGATAAGTGACAACTCTTCATGTTTTTCATATATTTATGATTTATTGATTATCATATGAAGGGAAATATTACTCTGATATCACACATTTAATCAAGAAGTTGTAAACCTGGCGGTTGCATATAAACAATTTGATGAGG